GCCTGCACTGAGGGAATTAGCCGATGCACTTTGCCTCTCCCCCAAGTAAATTCTGCTCATTGAACTGGTGTCTAGCTTATTAGTGACAGACAACACTCGCTCTGCGTTGCTGGACAACACATGATTCAGCAACAGCACAGGATGAGCTGCAGCTATGAGGGTGAATAGAAAAATCCTTTTTGTTTCATCTCATGCCCACTCGCCCCAGATGTTTGGGTTCATAATGTTTTACCTGTTTGTGATAAATTGCAAATGCCAGAATCTTCCGCGGTACATCGTGTTGGGTCACATGGCTACAAAACGCCTCCTTTGATTCTGTCATCCTTTATTTAAAATGTCAGCGTTGTTGATCACGCAGCCCAGCTGCTGTCGTTAACCTGAAATCTTCTTTATTTGATCAAAAAAGGCGAAAATAATGAAAACCGTGTGGGTTTATGTTAGCCTCACATTTTTGCCGGATTTTTTCAGCTGTGTCTTTACAGTTTAAAAACAGGTGATCCTGTATCTCTCATCCTCTCTTTCTCTTTGTGTCTTTTAACAATCTTCTTAAAGCAAAGGATCGGTTTTCTCAAAGTTTTCCTCGAAGATTGTTTATAATCTCCAGCGGGTTTAACAGAAAAACAGCACGGCACCCTGTGTGACACTGTGTCACGCCAAGGGCTGCAACACAATTCATAATTTGTATGGCTTTATACAAAACCAAACGCTGTCATTATTGGTCATTAAATCTTTTTACAGGTTATGCGTGCAGTATGTATATAATATTAAATCAAAGTTATAAAGGAAAACCGTAATATTACAACTTTTTTTTGTCAATATCAAATATTTCAAGTCCTCTTGTTTGGTCTAAGGGTTCATTTTCCAAGTTTCTCACATTCACGAGTTGTTACAGGCTGAATTTGACTGTTTGTTCAGGTGGAAATCTTAAAATGAAACTGCCTTAGTGGTGAGCAGGCTAACACAAAAGGGGCAGTAGTGCTCATGTACAGTACTCACTGACAGACCGTGACCCTGTGGGTAACAAAACAGCAGGAGGCAGCCCCCAATGAGAAGCTTTACTCCCCCACAGTTATTAACACCGAGCTAACACTTGTCGATAGTGTCTCTGAGGTAGAAGAAAAAACATAAAATGAGATTTCGGGTTTTTGCTCCTTTGGATTTGTTTGTTCATTGCGTTGAATGTTAAACTAATTGAATCTAATTGTGTGTGTGATTGATTTTTCTTTTCTTTCTAAAGCCATTGTTCACGCTTTACAATAGTAAATATGTGTCAGAGGTCAAAATGAGTTATCGTTTTTTTTTTCCCTCGCTGCCTTCATGATGCTAGGCTGACAGTGATAATTACTTTTCTTTGT